ACAGTATGGGCTTGTTTAACGGTATGAGTTAGTTTCCTAATTTTTGATGTCATTGCTCACCAGAACAAACAAATAATATTGAACTTTTATTCAAGGTGCGTATAATGACTCTTAATTTTGATATCTTATTGATTCGAGATTTTTCATGGGATTAATTTTCTTATAATAAGCACGTTAATGTGTGGGTATGTTTGATTCTCTTACTCTTGTTTATTGTAGTGAGGCCATGAATGATTATTCACCTTAATCTACTTATATGTCGAACTATGACAAAAATGTTTTTTAGCGTGTAGTTAGTTATAACATGCAGGTTTACGAGAGCCGACGAGCAAATATATGACCAAAAAAATATTTATATATTCCTTGTGAAGGTTAATCATAATAAAATGACTTGTCATTCATTTATCTGCACGCATCGCGGAGGCTAAATGCAAAATTGTCAAGGGGGATGTGCTTAAGCCTGTAATGGAGTCACCTAGGGAAGAAACCCAACGTCTTTGATTGGAGATCCCATGAAGGAAGTTCAATGTGGTAGAAACAATCCATATTGTGTGACTCATTATAGCACTCATATTATAATGAAGATATCCATGATATTCTTCTGTTCATCCCTAGGACAATAGTGCTATTTTATTTGGCGTTAGGAAGGGTATTAACCCTTAATGAGTTTTGTGGCGGGCAATCTCTCGTAGGGTACGAGTCACATGTACTCTTGGAGAAGTCACTTAAGTGAGAGTAATTGTGAGGTTGTGGTTGTGAGTATTGGGCTATTCTCTATTAACTCTCATGAGAATCAAGATTAAGCACACAACCATAAATAGCACTAGCCTGCACCAAGTTTTTTATTGATACCATGTGTGTTACATTTAGTATTCTGGTCAAAAGGAGTTAGTTTAAGACATAGTTCACTATGGTTCCTTCAGATGAAAGTTGTTAACATTAAGTGCAGGTTCAAGTCCGAAGTCTACCTACACCCATTGCATGGTGTACAAGTTGCCCAAATTTCTTCCATTCATATCTATATATTTATGTCTTCTACATTTCTATGGAGTTCTGAATCTTGTGGGGGATTGTTGGTTATTTATTTTATTTTATTAAAGATTAAAAACTTTATTTATTATTATTTTAAATAGTGAATATGAAGGGTCATATGCATTAAAGAAGTCATGTTTTTTTTATTTATTTTTTATTTTTTATTTTTATCAAATGCTATATGGAGATTTATAAAATAGGAAACTTCTCAAAACGTTAAAATACGCTCGATTGTTTTCCTTCTTTCCCTACTACAGTACTCACATATATCTCATATAATCCGCCTACTCATATTCATCATTAATGGGCAACTAATCACTACTTGACACCTCGTATGCTATAATCGTGCTTATGGATCTGACACTAAAATCCAAGGGTTGTATCTTGGAGTTGTAGATAGCCGTTATAACCAGCACATAAGGAGGCGTCTACAACTTTAGGACAGTGACAACACGCCTCTCTTGATATCACATGCCAGATTATTTCTTACTCCTTTTTTATTTACTGCTTTGTTTATTGATATATATGTTTGATGCATATAGTTATTATCTAATTAATTAAATTTACATGTGAATTATCATCATAATCATTTATAGGATAATGCAACTAAAGCCGTAGAATGTGGTAACTGTTTCGTAGTGATTTGAATACCCCAATAATTGTAGTTTTTCTGTCATTGACTTTCTGGGCAAGGCTAATCCCTGCCCTTCGTTAACTGCATCAAATAGAAGTTGAACCTTTTATCTGCCACTGCACTTTCTAGATTTATCAGACGCATAGATTGATTTATCAAAGCAGTTTTTGTAATAGGATTTTTGCAGGATACTTATAACAAGGTTTATTTATTTATTTATATTTTTTTTTTGCAGTTAAAAAAAAAAAAGAATTTCCAACCGTAGAAAATTGTTTGGTTATTTAATCACTAATATAGTTGCAAAGAACTATATATATATAGAAGAAATCAGGTTCTCATCCCTCTTTCTTCTATTTCATTGATTAAAACCTTATTTCTTTGCAATTTTTGATCTAGGTCTTTACGTTTTAATGAATGTCATTATTTCAATAATAAAATATTTACATATTACAATAATTAAATAAAATTTTAAAATATATTAATTTAGTATTAGAAATGTTACATTTGGTATATTTATATTTATGGCTATACTTTGCATCATATATATTTAATTTTTAATTTTTGTAACCAATTCCCTTTTTTAAATTTGTACTAAATTTATTTTTAGTTTTAAATTGTACCCATATATTAATTTCTTTTTGTGACCTTTTCTTTAAAAGATTTATTTGTAGTTTAGTTTTTTTTTATTTGTACCCGTAATTTATCCATAATGTACCCATTCTACTTTATAAATGTACCACCTCTTTATATGTAAAATGAACCCATTCTTTTAATGTAAAATTTATAAATGTACCAATTTCAAATGTACTCTTATTTAAAAATATAAAATAAAACATTTTATTTTGTGAAAAACTAAAAAAATCTGAAAAGTGTAAGATGAATTATCAATCTTTGTAAGATTATAGGGAGAAATTAATACTAAAATTTAACATTTTGTCTATTAATTAAAGTATTCAAATTAATAAATTTATTCTAAAATTTTTGTGGCAACGCATCCCTAATTTCATGATTTTATAAATTTTAAAAGAGTGATTTTACGAAAATGCCCTTAGAGGCGAGGATGTTTGACTTTTGTTGACTGTCATTTAGTGACGCTTGCAAGTTACTATTTTAGCGTACTCTCAAAGTTCTCGACAGGACGATCGTGTAAGCATAATTTGAATCGAAAATGGAGCTATGATAGGGTTTTAAAGAGCTACAAATCTGAAAAGTACTTTTGTAAAAATTACTATTTATTATTTTATATATATCTCTCATAGTTATTATATTATTATTGTAATATTAGTTGAGAGAAATGAAGGAAATGAGAAGGATGGACAGAGGAAAGAAGGAAGAAATGAGAGAAAATAGGGGGCTACTACCTAATCGGAGGAGAAAAGGGAGAAATGAGAGAGAGAAGGGTGGATGCCCAATCAGAAAGAAGAGAAAGAGAGTGACCAACCAGAGAGGAGAGAACAGAGGGGAAATGAGGGAGTAGAAGAGCACTGAATCACCCTTGACCTGGTTCCAAATAGAAGATCCTTTTAAAATGGAATCAGGAGAGGAGATCCGGATCCGGAGAGGAGATCCGGATCCTCTGACCCACTAATACAAACTGTTAGATTTTGATCCAACAATTACAAATAGAAGATCCTTTTAAAAATTATAATAATTGTAACCGTTAAATCAGAATCCAAAAACCCATATTAGTAGATTAGGAAGATCCTGATCTCCTGCTCAGGAGAGGATCCAATTCCCTTACCGAATGGCCTAGCAAACTTGCTCATCGAATTTGTACTTGTCCCTAGATACCTCCCACAGTTTTTATTTTTCCATCAAATTAATTGTTTCGTATTCAATTTGAAATAAATTTATAATTCTCATAACCATCCATAAATGTAACTAAATTACTTAAATACTTCTTTTTATTTTTTTTTTCAAAAGATCCAAGAAATATAACCTGTTTACTGTAGTGTCTCCGTCAACAATAATTTCAATTGTTTAAAGCAGTTCTTTTTCCCACGTCTGAAACCCGACCAAATCTTAATTGCTGCTCTACATTAAGCCATCGAAGGTTTGTTAAGGTTTCCAGGAGGACAATGCAAAAACAGAAGCGATTACAAATTTGACTACAAAATTTCGAAATAAAACTAGATAAGCGTACACAAGACGCGCAAAAATCGTGGTTTATATACGACTGGTATGTTTAACGTCCTTCAGCTTTACAATGACAATGAATTTCTCATTTTACTGGATGACTCACACCAGAAGGCGTAGTATTTAAGTTTCATTCATTAATTTCCTATTTTACCTGTACAAAAAAAACACATCCAACCATTCTTCCTTTAGAACAATCACAATCCCAATCAAGAGAGAGAGAGAGAGAGAGAGAGAGAGATAGTCCTGCAAATTTTATACCAAATACAATACATTGCCCATTAAGGTTTTCCACACAATCAGCTTGTCGTATTTCACTAGTGAAAACAATGCTATTATAACTATCCATTACTGAACACGAATAACATAAAGAATATGGCACCTATTCAAATCCAATCCAGCGTTCAGTTGCATCCGAACACCGATAGGATATACTGGCATGTATCAAAAGCATATAAAAGTAAAACCGTTCAAGTGAAACAACTTCCAACCAGCAACTAGTCCTTGGATACACTAAAGCAATCAAAATGAGTTGATCAAAAGGATTTGAAAAGATTTAAGCTGTCATGACCATAACAAGCCCTAACGAACAATACAAGGACAAGGACGCGACTCAGGTACTAGTTACCTCCAAGTTCCTGAAGCTTTTAATCTGCAAGGATTGCTCGTAAAGATAAAACCAACTTTTCCACATTAAGACGTGCTTCTACAAAGTGGAATACTTTGCCAATTGCATCCCTTCTTTACAAATACCGACTTTCTGCAATCCAGATAACAGTAGCAAGAGTGTTCTTTCAGTGTTTTTCAGTCCTACTTTTTCTCTCAGGTGACTCGCACAGTTCTTGGTAGAGGTTTGCAAGGAACTTAAGAATGATACTTTAATCGAGATATTAGCAAGCAATGTAAGATAATTTTACTCTTACGCCAATGCTCCTAATGAAGGAAGGAATATCTGGTAATATGAACTAGAGTCCTACTCATTCTTCTTTGTAATTTCCCAATATGTTTCCTTAAATATCAATATATATGTCAAAAATGCAAATTTAAATCACGCGGTAACTAAAACTGTACACACCAGGCAAGAGATTCCAGGTCTACCTTCTTGGACCACAATCTCGTACAATTCCAAGCAAGCTGAATCTTTCCTTATAGCCTTCAGTTCCGTAATAACCCACTCAATGATATGGAACTGAATTGATTAAGCAATCTAAAACGGCCAAAAAGGCTTTTATTATTCAAACCTTTCCAAAGGATTCAGCATTAAAAATATCCAAAATACCTTATAATCACATTAAGAAAATCCTCTTCTCTTGTTATAGTCTTATCTATTCATACGAACAAAAGATGCAGCAGGACTCCAAATTTTCCGTCAGGTGGAGTTCTTCTAGTAGATGAAGTAGAAGACACGTCATAAACTAAACACTTGCATCTCCGAATATCTTGAGCTTTCCTTGCAGCAAAATAACTACAGCCCGGCACAATATCCAATCTCTGGAAATCTAAGAGGGCGGCTCCTTGGCACATACATAGGTTCTTAGGGAAATTCTGTGTCCATAACTCTAGGCATCATAATGGAAAAGCTTCATACAGTCCACATCCTACAGCATCCTCTTCATCATGTCAGATCTGTTCCATAGACAAATTCACTTGTAACCATATATTGCTCTGTTTTCACCAATGACCTCTTAGAGCCAAAGAAGAGATGTCGTGCCCTCGGAAGAGAATAAATCTCCAGCCGGAAAATAGTAATAATGACACACGCATCGCTCTCATAATTACGCACACTTGAAACTTAACAAAACGTGAAAAACACAACAATCTGAATTACCTCAATAGTATGAACCAGAACCACCTGAACCCATATAACTGCTTCCACCCGCACCACGGCCAGAGTACATTGATGAGTAAGAGCTACCTCCAACCTACAATAGAGAATCAAGATATAATGATAAATGAGACAGCTAAATAGAACACCTATTATTTTCATTTAACCCAATCAGATTAGGTGCATACATCACTGCCACGAGATATATAATCACCACCATAGCTGGATGAGTACATTCCACCAACATCACTGCCACCATAAGAACCTGAAAAAGAAATTAAAACCTTAAGACCTTTAATTCTATGGTTTCAACAATAAAAATACTATCTATCAGATAACCGGAAATTACAATCGCACCTCCTCCATAGCCCATGCCCTGACGACTGCTGTATAGTCCATGAGAATCCTGACTTGTTCTGCTGCTTCCATATCCCATACTAGATCTCCCAAGTCTATCACACACAGCAAAAGGTAAGTTGCTGCATCCACACAAGATAATCAAAAGTTAATGTTACAATTCAAGGAACAAACCTGTCACTATAGCCATCACCATATTGAGACGAACCACTTTCATACTCATAGTCTAACCGCGCCCTGGATTGGCGGATGCCCGCATCAGTATAACGGGGAGGAACATCATCCTAGAACACATGGAAGAAGAATTTAAGCCCTATTTCATATCCTACCAGAGAAAACCAAGTAAATTGCATTTCCAGCTATAGAAAATGTCGTCATTAACACTAACCAGTGCAGAGTAGGCACGTTTTGAACCAGAAATAGTGTCATAATCACGAGCACGACCTTCACGGTAACTTGGAGGAGGAGGGGGAGGATGCCTTTCATACCGCTGTCCGTAACCTTCATCAACATAAGCTCTCCTTCCTGTTGTACGAGATGTACTTCTTGGTGGATCAGAGTAGGCAGGACCACGCTGAGCGTAGTCATCTCTGTACGATTGGCGTCTTTCTGGAACAGCCCTTGATCCATAATCAGGGGCTGCTCTACTCCTTGGAGGAGGAAGGTCCTCATGCCTGCTATATTCCCTCCTGAAGCTACTTTTTGGGTACGCAGGAACTGTTAAAAAAAGTAGAGGAATATTATTTTGCACAAGAAAAAAGTTGTCACACAACCCATTAGCCGTTGTAAATTAAAATATTGCATACCAGGTGGCCTCCTGTCATAGGACCTAGATGGAGGAGGCAAAGGCCTGCCTCTTGGTGGATAAGATGACATCACATGGTGTCTATCTCTTAGCGCAACAGGCCTCTTTACACTGGCTGGTGGGATTCGACTTCCAACTCCCCTTAACCCACTACGCATAGGAGGGAGAGGGCGTGGTGTTGAGTGACCCCATGAACCTCTAACAACTCGTCCAACCCCCCTAGAAGAACGATAATCTCCGCGTCCAACATGTTTTCCTTTACCCCTCTGGAGCGGTCTTGATAACCTCGCCCTGACTTTCGCCTAAAAGTGACAATGATTATTCATAAATTCATGTCCAACAAATTCCAATACATAAAATACTTTCATCAGTAATGTCTAAAATTGAAATAACTGTTATCAGCCAACACACCTTGTTGTCTCCTTCACCTAACTCTGCATTGTTAATGCTTTTAGCACAAGTAACTGCAGCCTCATGAGTGTCGAATGTAACAAAACCAAAATCTCTCCTCTTAGCAGAGGGCATGTTCCGCGCAAGCTCAATCTTTTCAACATTCCCATATTCCTTAAGAAGATCTTGGACATGGTCCTCATCCCATGAAGCAGGTAGGCCATCAACAAACACAGTTTTGACCTGCATGTCAAGATATTTGGTCAGCAGCTCCAACAATCACCTAAACTCCTCTAAATTGCATAAAACACTTTATCAAAGAAACACAATCACAACTGCTTTCCCATACATAACTAACTTTATCATAGTCAATTGAGGAGAAAACATTAACAAGATTTTAAAAAACAAGTAACACAAAATTAAGATAATGTTACCTGAAAAAAAACAACTCCAAAGAATCTAATATTCTAATTCAACATGTTATAGATGCTATGCTAATTTGTCAACAAACTAGAAAATTACTTGTACAAGAGAACATCAATGGGCATATTGTAACTCATCTCCCATAACATAAAAAATGAGCACAACAGGGAATTTATCCAGGACTCCATACACTCATGGGAAAAATAGATGTTACAAGGACCTTTGTATACGTTCATTCACCAAAACACAAGAAAATATCATGAGAAAGATAACCCATCCAGGAATCCTATTGTTCCTATAACACAGCAGAAAATATACGTTACCTGTGCCATGATTTCATCACCAGGATCAATGAAGGAATCTGCAAAAGAAACTTTTGCAGGCCTATCAACTCCAAACACAATATCTCTTTTTTGAAGTCGCTTAAAAGCATCCATGGCATCTGAACGAGAAGAAAATTCCAAAAAAGCAAAGCCTCGATTCATTCCCTCATAGTTAGTATCTTCGACCAATGTCAGACCCTCAACATTATCTACTCCATAATGTTTCAACTTCTCTCTCAACTGAAACCACAGCCATCAAAAGAAGTCAGAAATTTTTAATCATCTCCTGATAAGTCAAGAGAATTTTGAAATGATGTAAGCCAATATACTTACAGCATCCTTTGTCCATGTCTTGCATATGTTACCCAGAAAAAGAGTATCACTGTCTTGACTTGGAGTAACACCACACTGTTTTCCATTAATCTGGAATTGCAATCATTCAGAGAATAGAATTTAATATGTGAAGAAACCAGTTTCCGCTCGAACTACAAAAGGATCAAAGATTACCACTGGATGTTTAAGCTCTGCAACTGCTCGCCTTGCTTGTTCCACAGTTGCAAAACGCAAGAACGCAAATCCCTTGTTCTTCTTAGTCTGAGGGTTCATCATCAGCCTGACCTCAGTAACTTCACCAACACCAGCAAAAGCTTTCCTAAGATCAGCCTCACTTGCATCCTTGTCTAGACCACCAACAAATACTTCGAACTCCTTGCGCTTCCGTCTCTCCTTTACAACTTCATGGTGCTCCTCTTCCTCGTCAACCATCTCTGCATGCTCATGCTCATGCTCCTCGCTAGCATGCTCCTCAAACTCTTCACCCTCAAGTTCTTCGTGGGCATCTTCCAACTCTTCCTCAGCCATATCACCTTCTTCTTCACCTACAATCTCCTCAGGTTCTTCATCTCCTTCATCCCCGAGCTCCTGGATATCCTCTTGTTCCATTTCCTTCTCATCATAATCAACCCCACCATCTTCTTCAGGTTCATACTCAGCTTCATTATCCTCCAGCTCTAATTGTTCATCTTTTTCATAATCATCTATAGACTCCTTAACCTTATCTTGTTCTGCGATAAATTAAGGTTGACAATACCTTAAGTTAAAAGAGACTCAAGTTCTACATTATGATCAAGCAGAGTTCACAATTTAATTAAGACGGTCCTTGTCCATCTCAGATAAACACAAGTACAAAGAATACCATGATTATATTAATGCATAACGGATCCCCAAAAAAAGGCATGATCTACTTTTACAATGCCTGAAGTGTCATTCTATACTTAATGCTTCCATATGAAACAATGTCTAAACACAAAATTGATCCAAAACTCAGTCACAACAGTATGATCCCACTTAGAAGGTTTAAACTTCCCTTCTATGCTCTTCGCATAAACCAGTCTGAGCTAAAAACAAAGAGGAAAGTGTATGATCCATGTTTACACTGTTTATACTGTCATCCTTGATCCATATATTAACCAACTTTTTGACACATAACCGAGCAAGAACTAAGTTAACAATCCACCACGCTCATACCGACTTCTAAGCTCCACTCAAGAACTAATTGCTCTTGAAAGAAAAAGTTGGCTACTTCTATTAAAAGCCACCAAAGTGCATGGAAGAGCAAGCATTACCAGATTTACAAAAACGTATTCCTCAATGGATTTCTGTGTAGACATTTATTCTTCGGAATCTTTCTAAATTATTTCCCTTAGTTGGTTTTATTGTTTCCCTAAGCTCTATACAACATCCCACATAACAGAAAATTAAATATACCCCTTTTACCACAACAAAAGCCACACTATAGACAAAAGATTAAGCATTATTACCACAGTCCCTTAAAACATATATAAAATCATGCAAAAACATAGAGCGGTGGAAAATCAAGAGCAAATTACTTAATTCAATCAAGCCCCAACAAAATTACATAATTCGGAAAACAAAACTTACTTTTTAATCCGTTCTGCTCTGCTTTCGCTTCAACTTCCATCTCTGAAGGCCCTGACTGATCAATAACGAGTGCCTTTTCATCAACAACTGGCTTCTCCTCGACAGCCACCAGCTTGTCTGCCGCAATTGGCTTCTCCTTAATCTCTTCAACATTGAGATCCTCTTTAGATTCCACCATCGGCACCGCATCCTCGGCCTTCACCAACTCATCTGGAGCCTCAGGCTGGACCTGGTTCTGGGCCTTGTGCGTCCCCCTGGTGACTCTCGTCGTCCTCTTCGCTCCCGCCGCCCCACCTCTCTTCACCGTCCTCGGAGGCATGGTTTCCCCAATCAAATTCTCCAAAACTCCACAAATTCCCCAAATCAAACCCAAAAAAAAGACCCCTTTTCAAGAATTAAACAGGGAACGATTCAGAAAACCTAACTCCACGATCACAGTTGCAGAATAGAAGGAATCAGAATTCTAATAGGATCCGAACCGAAAGATGAAATATTTCAATGCATACTATTTATAGAGAGATAATTGCAGCGAAAACCCTAGATTGCGTAATTGCGAATCGAACAAAACCCTAGAAACAGAGAGTGAGAAGACGAAGACCAAAACAAAACCCTAATTAAAGAAAGGTGGAGATAGAATTGCGACCTTGCGGGTTAAGGCTGAGGGATTTGTGGGCATATATATGCGAAAGAAAAGGAGGTACTTTGGGTGTAAATACTTGGACAGGGATTGTTAGTGTGAGTGAGTTACTTGACACGTGGGAATTAGTAATTGCTTGGACAATGTACGATGAGGAACATGGGACACTTGGCATGGTATCAAGCGATTCGTAAAGTTTTTGAAAAATGATTTTTGATGAATTTTATTATACAAAACGAGAACAACAAAAGAATTTTGCATTTTATGAATAGAAAACTTGTGTGGTAGTTTAATTCAAAAATTACTTTTCAGAAAGAAAATATTAGAAACGTGTCTAGTACTAAAACCATCTTCAACTTTAGGTTAAAACTTAAATTTTTTTAACCCAAAAATAATTTTTCTCCTCTCGTCATTCTAGGTTAAATTTTTAACCTGAAATTATTAAAGAATAAATTTAGGATATTTTTTTTCTTAAAGTAATTTTTTTTTTTTAAATTATGCAAATTATCTTAATTTAATTTATGAACATTCTAACCTCAAAATATTTAGATTCTGGTGAATATTAAAAAATCACCAAACCTACACTATGAAACTTGTGGAAAACTATGAAATAATATGAAACACATAAAATAAGTTTTTTTAATTACTTTAGCCGTTGGATTTAATAGATCTTTTCTTTTAACGTTGGATTTGATTATATTAGATCTTAATTGTTGGATTCAATGAATTTATAAATATAAAACTAAAAAAAAAATACACATATATGGTGATCTAGCCCCATTAACCCAGGGGAATCCTAGGCTAAATTTGCCCCATAAATGAGTTTTTGGTTAAAACTCATATTTGCCCCAAGAGTTGGAGTAAGTTTAGAATCTAAAATTTGAGTTTTACTTCAAGGGTTGGAGTAGGTCTAATGGTAATTTTAATTTTGATAATAATGTATTGTAATATAAATTTGAAGCTGGTGGTGATGGTGACGATGAAATTGTGGTTGCATAAAGGATGGTGTTGGTGGCCACGATGGTTGGGGTGCCTATGGTGATGGTGATAGTAGTAGTAGTGATGACAATGGCAGTGCGATGATGGTAGGGTATGAGTGGTGGCAATGTGGGAAGGGAAACAACAATGGTGATGGGAGTGATGGAGAGAGTGGTAATGGTAGCAGAGTGGTAGTGGCGCCGACGATAATGGTGAAGGTTGGTGGTGGTAGCATTGATAGTGTGAGGTTGTGGATGTAATTAACATATTGGGGTGGTGGGAGTGATGGTGGTTCAAACAATGGAATTGTTGGTTGCCTATGGTGGCTAGGCTAATGTTTGTGGTGATGGTGGCAGCAATGGTGGAAGGCAATAGAAATCAGGTCACAATTGACCTCGAGCACGCTAGAAATATATAGCCAACTTCTGAATAAAAATTTTGAAATGCCCGCCCACCTACATCCTATTTCATAAAAGTCTACAATGTGGTGTGCTGCTTCAGGTTCAATCAAGGTTCTATACTGCCCTAGGTGATAGTTTGTCGAAGAAGACGACATTTGCGCAAGGTTTATTAATAACCCTAGCACTATTAATAAGGGTGTGAAATGAGAGAGTTGGGGTTTGATTAACTTCCAAACATGTGATTCTTCAAATATCCCATAAATAAAGGTAGAGGTGAGACTAACAAGCGAGAAACTTGACTTGGAAAGAGAAAGGGGTGTGCTAGCTTACAAATAACATAGGGCTTTTTCTGCTTGACCGGAATCTATTCTATACAAAAGCTAACATTAAGAAGTAATGTGTTGAAAACTCAAACATAGTTACATCGACTAGAATATGAAAAACTATTGAAGTGGAAACTGTCCATCAATCTATCTAACTTGATGTCACGCATCTTTTGTGAAGTATGATTTCCATGATTTCTTTGAAGACAACATCTTGCTTTACCTACCAAAGAAACGAAGAAATTTCAAAAATTGCTCGCAAGACCTTAATTTAATCCAATATGGCTTTTGTTGATAGTAATGCTGGAGATGGATTGATGTTGGATTGAATTAGGAAGAACAGTGAAACTCGAAAAAAAAAATTATGTAGCCGAACCTACCCAGTTGGTGGTCCAATTGCACAATGACTCGCATTCAAGTCACAGCCCAACTCCATAGTTATCCAGCTTCACCCACGCACTTCAGCACGCATAGCAAGCACCAATAGACCAAGCATGTTGGCCTAGTTAAGTTGTAGCAACATCATCAAGGAAGGGAAGACGAAGGGGGAAAATTTTCTTACTTGAAATTTTCTCTATGAATTCTCTATGCAAAGCGTGAATTTTAAAGTAAGGAATTTGTGAGAATTCAAGCCAGGGTTATCTCTTATTTAAAATAAATCCTTAAAGAAAGACAAAAAAATAAAAAATAAATAAAAAAAATTCTACAAAGACTTGAAGACCTACCTTGTCTTGGAAAAAAAGTTCTATACAAATAGGAACTACATCTCCTTTTGTTTCCCACTTAAACTCAAGCATATGTGGGGTATTTATAGAAACATAAATTAATCACATCTAATAGGACACATGGACTATATACTCCCTATGACGGTTTTACCACGTGGACTATATACTCACTATGACGGTCTTAACATCTTGAGCATACACATCTTACCTCAAGGGAATGTGACATTAGTCTACTCTATGGGTAATAGGCTTTTAGGCCACCACCATATCACAGGTGCTTCAAGCCCATATTATGTCCTGCCATCGGGCCATACCCAACCCAATGGTGGCAGGAAGCCAACCCTTCAGAGTCTCTCCTTGGGTGTCCAATACGCTAAGTGTAACGCCCTGCCCCGAAATATTTATTTTCGGGAAATAATTTCGATGATAGGCTTAATTTAAACTCTTGCTTAATTTACTACCATGAACCACAATTCTTGACTTCAATTCCTTAATTCCTCATAAAACTATATCCATATTTTAATTATCAAAACATATGATTAAATTATCAATTTAATCCCCAAATTTCTTCTGTTAACTTCTCAACAAAAGATTAATTGTCAATTATTTAGGGCTACATCTAACCCCTATTAGACTGCCTACATACCCTTGAGTGGGATCAAGCCCTTCATAGTTCACCATTTCATTTTCTATCTCATTCCGAAAAACATTCAAGTGACTAACAATCACTAACTAGGTTCAAGCAAGGGAAACACACCAAAAACATATCAAATATCATATCAAATATGGATTCAGAAAATCGAAATTAGGTTAAAAAAAGGGCATCAGCTCACTCGCCACGCACCGCCGCACGCGCCGCCGCGGGTGGCGATCGGCCACCCCAACTTGTCGAAAAATTTCATTATTTTTAAATATTCCCAAATTTTACAAGAATGTAGAGCAAGTCAAGAGGAACAACTTTTATACTTGGGCCGAAGTCCAATTCGGCCGAAAAACACCTGAAATTTGCCACGAACCGTTGGAACCCTAGAATTTAGGTGTTCTTCAATTCGACCAATCCGCAACACCACCGCCCCCTAAAACTATTTGGGATTTATTTCTAGCCTCAGGAGAAGTGGTTTGACGGTGGTGGTGGTCGACATTACTTTCACGATCGCCGGATTTCGCCGTGGCACCCTCAGAAACCCACGAGTTCCTTTCTACCCAAATTCAAGCTCAAATCCAATAAAATTTGGGTGAAAATGGAAGAAGGAAGGTCAGGGATTTGTTTCCAAGTGATAATTCGGTGCAATTCGCACCAATTTGGCAGAAAGTACATCAGAAACCCTTGTTTCCATCACGAAAAGGGAACGGGTCGAAGGGATCCAGTGTCCCACACCTCTTTCCCTTCTCTCCCTTCTCTTGTTTCTCATTGGGTCTCTCTCTTCTCTTTCTCCCTGATTGGGCAGCCCCACTTTCTCTTCCTTCTTCCCTTTTCTATATTTTTTTTTCTTCTTTTCTCTGGTTGGTTCCCCTTCTTCCTCCTTAAACCACAGCCAAACCAAACTCCAGCAAATCTGAAGCATTCCAAATTCACGGCAAAATGACCATTTTACCCCTATCTTCGTTCGTTTCTATTTCATTTATTATAACTCCGTTTGGCGATTGGTTTTCGCCTACACACTCGTAGGGTCGTTCTCTATTCAATTATGTCAAGAAATACGATAAAATATATGAGGATAAAATATATCCTCGTATAATTTAATTTAGCCAACTAGGGCATTTTCATCATTTCATTTTTTGATAAATTTTACGACGTAAATTACAATAATTTCTGGAAACAAAACTTTAAAAGTTCTCAATTCAATTCTTCATAACCATAAATTGATTTATTTTCGATTTTTCTCCACATATTCATATATTTAAATTTTCAGGATATTACAATAAGCGCCCTACAACAGGGATCTTTAGGATTACTAGTTGGCATGACTACGAAGACTCACATGCACTATCAAAGATTGCCTAGTATGGTTTACAACGTCCCCACTCAATTACCTACGAGGGTTCAAATCTCTATAAATAGTCAGGTTAAACAGAAAAAACCATAATAGCCACTTACTACTCAGAAGTCTTTTAAGTTCTCTTTTCTCTTTGCAACTTTTCTTACTTAGGCATTGTATACACTTTGGTGCACACCTTCCCAATTTTTTTTTTGAGGTTTTCATCAATTAAACTAATAGTGTTTGTTCTCTTGTAAGTAAAATTTTGTCAAATCAGTCGTTTACAAAATTTGCACCTACAAACTTGACATATAATGAAGTCAAAAAATGAGAAGAATAATTAAAATAGTCAATACTCATTTTAAAATCCAACAGAAGATGTGACTAGTTCGACTACAATAAGACAGAAACTATGAGGCAAAGTCTATATCCTCATAATTACATAACAAAAACTGCAATGCAAAGTCTAAAGTCTAGACTACTTATTCCAAAATATATAAAATTTGAGAAGGGTTTTGATTGGTTTAAATTTAAAGATCCTTAAAAAAAAAAAAAAAAAAAAAAAAAAAAAAAGAGAGAACTTTAGAGAGCTTAAGGAAGGTATATAACTTTTTTTAA